CAACATATAAGACAAACAACCACAAACGGGTTACAAAACAAGACTGAAACAAAGGCTCGTTGAAACTAAAAGAACTTATATACACTATCTACACCTAACACAGTCTAGTTTAAAGAGAAAATACACAAGCTAGTAAACTAAGATACAGTGACTAAAAACTAGTATAAACCTAACCTGTACTAACCTTGGAGATCTGGACAAAACTGAGGCCACCACACACGTTTTCATACACCTTACATACCCTTTCATAAACTGGTACAAACCGGAATATTACAACTCACAGCACGAGAACTGAACAAGGACGAACGGGATAGGGTACCAAGTAACAACAACATTCACCCCCTTCACTACATACACCCCCCAACCCCGCCCCCCTACTATTGTAAACCTATGAACTCACCTAGCGTAACAATCTCCCACAGAAGAATGCCGTAGGCCCAGACATCAGATTTAGTGCAGTGTGTTCTGTCAATCAAACTTTCTGGTGCCAACCATCTAACCGGCAGTGGGCCCTGTCAAGTTTAGAAAAACACTTGTTTTAAACTAGATTTATCATTCACCTACCACTTCTGTTATAATCTACTTCACCTACGCCGCTTTAACGGTAACGGGTTCGAATCTAAAATGAAGTATGAAACTTAGCTAATGCTTGAAACGAATAAAACACAGTTTGAAGATTCTACAACGGAATCAATGTCCTAATAATGCAAGCCATGGCAAGGTGAATCAACATTGGGATTTGCCATCAACTAGCAATATAGAAAGTAAAAGAATACTTTCTTTAGACGTAGCGATCCGTTGTGCAGATGAACTAGGGTTCATATGTTTCTTGACCTCGACATATGAAGGGATGGCGTGGTCAGCACTATGCCCAACGTATTGTCTGGTACCCATCAGAGCTTGGTGGATTAATCAAAACCAGGACCGAACTCGAGACTTTGTGGCTGGCCTCCAACGCTCTACCATTCGACCACGTCTTCCCACACAAACTCACAATAGGATGCATTGAAACATAATATTTAGTTTAAATATTCTAACCAAATGCTAAAGCCACCAAATTGACATATGCTTGTTTTCTACAGATAAAACAATTATTTTCTGGCCAAATTATGTGGCAACTGAATTGGACCAATGTTGGAGTTTCTTCCCAGACTTTAAGTAAAACAAGTTAAAAAACCGACGATTAAATTATAATCAAAATAATGAAGTTAATTAACCTTCAATGAATAACCGAAAACATAATTTACCTTAAACCAATGCAGTTTACGAACCTTCAACGATTTCACCATAATGTAACCAATGCAATTCAAGAACCTTTGACGATTTAACCATAATTTAACCAATGGGGTTTACGAACCTTCGACGATTTAACCATAATTTAACCAGTTCACGAACCTTCGACTATTTAACCATAATTTAACCAATTTACGAACCTTCGACTATTTAACCATAATTTAACCAATTCACGAACCTTCGACTATTTAACCATAATTTAACCAATTCACGAACCTTCGACTATTTAACCATAATTTAACCAACGCAGTTCGCGAACCTTTGACTATTTAACCATAATTTAACCAACTCACGTACCTTGGACGACCTGTCGTAGTGGTCAGTGTCCCCCAGACATCGAGCCAGCCCGAAGTCTGTGATCTTGCACACGCCCCTGTCAGTCACCAGCACATTGCGAGCTGCCAGATCTCTGTGGACAATCTGGTCAAAGAAAAAAAGGCAACTAGAGTTATTTCCCATTTTATAAACCCCTACGAACCACACAATCACCAGCCCCCACGTACCATCGCACCCCTTGCCTCATCTGTCCCCACCCCTATCCCCAACTGTACCTAGCTCCCCACCCCTAGCCCCACCTGTCCCTACCAACACCTGTACCCGTCCCCACCAGTTCTCACACAGATGTCCCATACCCCGCCCCACCAGTATCTACCACCCCCACCCCTAGCCCCACCACCACATGTACCTGTCCCCACCACCACCTGTACCTGTCCCCACCACCACCACCACCTGTACCCACCACCACCTGTACCTGTCCCCACCTGTTCTCACCTTGTTCTCAGCCAGATGCCCCATACCCCTCGCCACCTGAAGGCAGAAAGCGAAGAGATCGCTGGACGAGATCCTCTCCTCCTCCCCCTCGTCTATGCTGGTGATGCGACTGAAGCAGCTCTCCGTGGCCACACTGCTGCACTGGCTGGCCATGCTGCCTCGCCGC